GAAAACTATTGAACGCGAGTGCATCTCAAATAGGGTTGATTTCACTAGGTGCGTCCAGGTAAACTCCTAACAGAGAGAGGCAAATGCCCCATCAGCAGTGGTCGTGAGAATATAAATGGGGAGAATAACACGAGGACATATTGCCACCAAAAGTTTGTGGATTGCAAAGAAAGTTTGACTACGACAAGCACCTACTACTTTATCGATCTCGAGCTAACAAGAACGAATTCGCTTGATGGAACGTACATTTACTTCAGAACAGTCAGTGATCAATAATTTGTGACCAGTTTTTTAACTACTGTTGTTCGTTTCGATCACGTGAAATTACCTGGGTGGTGAATGTACTAAGAAGTGCAAACCATAAATATCTCACTAAATCTTGGATTGCTAGTAAATCACTTGAACGGATAGGACGCTGTAGATCCCGCTTCGTTTTCCGCACTACAACTTGTTTATTTTTCTAGTACATAAATGGTGGTGAGACCCTTATACAAGTTGTTTGCTATTGTTTTAATCAAATTACACAAACTGTAAAAAGTTTGGAACCGTTTGAGAATTCATCGTTCCAGAAAAGCTTGATAAACAATCGCTATTTTTTAATTGGGCAACGTTTCGCTTTTGACACAAAATCTTCATCAGGCCAAGTGTGCAGGTCACCAAATTCGCCAGGTTATGAGACAGACGGGGAGCCAATCAGTAAGTCAGTCCGCTTTAGATTATTACGCTAGATCAGTGTTGAGTGTCAACTAACAGCTTTTGTCGGTTAGTGAAGTTGTCAAAATCTTGCTTTGGTGGATTGGGGTGGTTTCAAATTAATTTTGATCGGGTTTGGTTCATTAGTCTTCCACTTCAGGGTGCTTCACTTGATGATTCACCTCAGTTGCCACTGGTAGATTTTTCTTGATCTTCTTCTTCGACAATTTAGTTGGGGGAGGGGAGATGCGTAAGGCTGCCGATTCGTTCCACGTCTGTCTTATAACGTGGCCAATTTGATGACCTGTTCACTTGGCCTGATGAAGCGTTTGTGTCAAAAGCGAAACGCTTAACAAGCTCTTCTGAAACATTACACAAGGTCCGTTTCAGCGATAGCTCTGAATAGTTTCTGGAGCTAAATTATGGTGCCACAAATGAGACATGCATTTAGTTTGTTTCGAAATACATCTACCGTTTCAAATTGACTAAACTTTCTCCGAGTTACCAGACGGAATTTTTAAATTAATCCGGGTGAACTCATATTCTGAACTTTCTGGATGATTTGATCCATAAAATCAAACCCATAGGGTTAATATCCGAATTTTTCACGCATTACCTACGATATCTAACGGAATAGCCAAAGAATAGACTCTATACACTCATTTGCAAACGACGCTGGTATAAGCGGGAGACTGAGATGAATCCCTCGTTTGTGATATTCTTCAACTGAATACGCTGTAAAACAGCCACTCGTTTTGGTTGGCACGCTTTTCATGGAATCCCTCCCATTAACGTCCACTTGACTTACGAATAGTTGTATCTCTTGTCAATCACGCACAAATCAGTGTTCACGTAGAACATTAGGTTGATGTAGACTTGACTAAGCTTTACTGATGTCCCCAAAAAGAGCTAAACCGGTAGCGGACCGTCGAAAAGTTTTCGGTAACCTGAGAGGCCGTGTCCGGTTCATCGAGACAAGCTTGACAAATACTGTGTCAACGTTTCATCTATCACAGATCATCTGCCAGATTCCTCATTATGTCACGCGTCAAGCTTTCGCTTAGCAAGGAACCGCAATTAGCACGCTCTAGACGATAAAGCTGTCAATAATTGGCTACAAGCATCCTGAAAAACCCATCTAAATTAAATATCCGGTCAAGTGAATTCTTTTCAGTAAGTAAGCATCCCATTGAACCACACAGAAATCATCTTCAGTCCCAAAAAATTATCGATTCACAACAAGAACACTTATGAAATTACCGATACTGTTAAAAACAGCAGCAGCACCAACACTCCCGATTTGTTTTCTCTCTAGCTACCAACACGCCTAACCGTTCAGCTGTAGCACTCTTCCGGTGCCTAGCTGCCATGCCACCCAAAGGAAGCATGAGAGCTTTGGTACTGCCAGGTTGCCCAAGCCTAGACAGGGGAACTCGAGAGGCGGAGGTGGGATTCGAACCACGGACCTTCCGGTCAGTAAATTCGCGCTCTTACCACTTGGGCCGTCTCGCCCTCAACAACACGCCTCTATTCAAATAAAACATCCTATTGGAGATGATTGCTTCTAATATGAAACCACGGACCTCCGGTCAGTAAATTCGCGCTCTTACCACTTGGGCCGTCTCGACCTCACCAACACGCCTCTATTCAAATAAAACATCCTATTGGAGATGATTGCTTCTAATATGAAAAAGCAATGGTGAGTTAAACTTCGCGGTCTAGTCTACCTAATTGTTGCTTTCTGGATGGGCCTCAGCTGAGAAAACCTTGAAATTACTAACAGCGTCGAGGTCAACGGGCGCTGTGGGCAAACAAATGCTGGATCAAAATCACCGCATAAATATTAAAGTTAGCTGGGAACTTTCTGGTTGCTGACCTAATGGAATATCGTGTAGAGCTCACCCCCCCCCCACAGAAGCAAAATTAAATATTCTTCTACCATGAGCATCCACGCAGTGATTTCCTGTCAGGGACAATAGCCTGCGAATATGAGATTTCCATCAACACCATCGCGTTTAAAGAAACAAGTTACCACAATGATCCATAATAACAAAGGTTTACCAATGGCCAAGTTTACTCTAAGCGATCGACTGCTACTAGACCGTCTCACAACGTGAGTGGACATTTTCAGCTTAATTTAACACGATAAATAGCTCAGGTAGAACGAGAACATGGAATGAGGTAGTATATGGCATTTCAATATCCTTTGGGTTGTTGATAAGCTGTGAATCAGAGTGGATGATACTTAGGCCTTTTCGATATTTCCCAACGAGCGATTACATTTTGATTGTCACTCCTGACAAGAGATCGCTAGAGGCGGTATTCTTACACACACTTCTTGGACACCATAAGTCCTTTTTTTTACTGAAAACTTAACATATCTGATATTTTATCCGATCCTCTCAATATTTTGTGCACACTTGGAAAAAATGTGAAGGGGATATATGCTGCCACAATATACACATAATAGATTGGAGTCGTGCGATCTCTCGCCTCAGTCCCATTTTGGCTGACATGGTTTTCCGTCGAATGATTGTACTGTCACCATCAATGGTTTTTCTACCTGGTGTCGAGATTCCTAGAAGTTTGAAGATTGCACAATCTTTACCGATCTTGTTTACGCAAAACAGCAGCCCAGTGATGGATCCCATTTCCCCGGAATCTCGTTAGATAAGAAAACATGCCGAAAGTCGCGGAGAGGAGTGTATCACGAAAGAACAGAAGACTTATGGATTTTGCTGAAATAAGGTGCAAGTGCATTTCAACCAGATGTCCGTCAGACGGAGCACATAAGGTCCTCACCAACGAAAGTTGAAGCCGAACTAAACTTGATTACGGGAAACCTGACTTAGAATGAACACCAAAAAAGGTTTGTACACGAAAATCTACCGTGTCTAAACAAAACTCATACACACCCACACATACAAAAATCTACATACATATCTGCATAGTGTTGCAATCTACAGATGACATGGCTTCCGAAATGGTCATAACAGGTTCTCTCCAGAAAACATTCAATGCAGTACAACTGATAACTAACCTCACTGGTGCACCCCTGAAAGATATACAGCCAGCACATGGTTTGGATGCATCAAGTTATTCACCAAGTACATTCATGTGTGTTGCTGGCCCAATGTAGCCTAATGATACTTATATAGCTTATTCAAAGAGAAACTATGCAAGACTATCGTTGTAAGGCACCAGACTAGGTCTCATCTACATTCACAAATGATCACAGAATCACCACAGTTAACAAATACATCCCGTAGTAATAAGTTGTTTCACGAAAACGTCATTTCTTCTAAGACAAATACCCATACGCAAATTTCGTAATAGATAGTCTATATATGGCACTGCTATACAACCCGTGGTTCGGCTAGTTTTCAGTTATTATCGTGTCCAGCGGTGTAGGTTCCCCTATTCTCTCCACGAAACTCTACGCAACTGATTCAAGCAGCACTGCACCCGGCACATTCATTAACACATCAAACGTGAATCAATTCAAAATGAATGCAGGTCGCACTTGGCACTATAGCTCCCCATACTGAGATGTGCTCTATAGGCAGACGGTTAGGTAGTGTACTTGGTAAGTTCGACATAAAGGCATCTTCGATGGGAATTAAGAGCTCGAGATAACTTAGTGTCTAAGGCGTGAATCAAACCCCTACTTCTCGACTGTTCCTGTCCGGCCTTGATTGACCTTACATTATTCCAGTCCTCGTGCTCCCACCGGGCAACTAGGCACCGGGAGGGATGCTACAGCTGCTGTTCTTTGGTAATCACATCAAAATTTTCAGTAACAGAAACCCCCATGAAGAAGAACCACACATCTCTACGACAAACATTAGCCCGCATAAAGATGAATAGCAGTCCCAAGTTTACATAAGTCAAGGTTTTTAATCGTGAAATCTAGTCACTTTTTATTTACGGTCAAAAAAACAAGAATGAGGCTTTGAAATTAGGAAAAATAGATATGAGAGACTGTACATCATGCTGACTTACTTCGCGACGAGATGAATCGAGGACAGACAAATAGTAGAAAGTAAAAAGGTCAGATACATTAAGAAACACGATGATGAGGAGCCCAACATGAGTTGGGCAACCACCGGTACAATACTGCTGGTATGACAAATGGTTCTGAAAGCACGACGGCAAAGTGGATGGGCGGCAGCTGAGTATATCAGTGCGTTAGATCGGTTCTTCGGAGCCCAATATCCGACTGTCTCAACCAGTGACACAGTTCATCAATAAATGCAGCGTAGTCCAAAAAGATATGGTGTCTTTTCCAAGTTTTCTACCCTAAAATCTCACCTCATCTCAGCACTTGGACTAAAAAATAGTGAGCTTGAAACAGGACTAAGATTTGGTGACACGGATGTTCTTGGCTCAGAGATGGAAACGCATGGTACAAACGCGGTGGTTGGTGTTTCTATTGTTAGTGTATTCGGTGACGCACGAATTTTCTCAGCTGGTACAGCCGCGGATTCTGTTTGAAGCAAATATTTACTGTACCGTATCTGATGTTCTCGGCGCGCATGAGTGGTGGCAACCTCTAAATTCCAGTCGAATTTGATAAGTAAACGCTTGCATCTTGACCGCGAGACATAGCCCCTACGGCATAGCAACTCCACTTTCAGACGCCTTAACGCCTCTTCGTACTTGTAACCACAGCCGATGAGCACCGCTTGGCACTCTGCCTCCGTGGCAGTGGGTACAGCTTGTGATAGACGGAGAGCCATTTCCCGGTACAGTATGTTTAGGACGTTCCTGTTTGAATCAGACAACCCACGACGTAAGTTAACGCCAGGAGGTACGTTTATATATGAACTATTGATATCCTGGCTAGCAGGAGACGGAGGTGGAACTCGCTCACTCTGATACCGCGACAACGATGGCGTTCCGCGCATGAGAAATGATCGGGGCGGTTCAAGCAGCCAATAGTGAGTGTCGCTGATTTTTATGCCATTCTGAAGCACAGGATATATTCGCACACCGTACCGGTCATATTCAAGACTTGCCGACTTTTGTCGGTCAGTTTTCTCGATCGAAGAAAGTGGGGTGGTGGGAGGGGTGATTGAGTACTTTTTGGGCATTTGATCAGTTTTTTTACTCAACGCAAGTTTGAGCCACGGAGGCATTGCCCTTGGCGGCGGCGGTGGAGCCGGCAGGTCATGATCTAACTCTTCGAGCAGCGGGTCATGAAAGCAAGATGGACTTGAAGACCCATTTGAATGCACTTCTGACAAAAGAGCCAGGTTTGATTCCCCATCACAGTCACATCGTGGGTTGTCTTTCCCTTGTACAATACACTTTCTCCTTTCAGGAAATACACGATTATACGAAGTTACTCTTTTCCAATTGAACAATCTGCCCTGATTTCCGTTAGTTCGTGTGGGTAGGATTTCGTCATCGTATGGATTACGAATCGAAACGCCCGTTACGTCCAACAATTCATCACTTGCAGTTTGGATTAGTCCACATGGATCATCTAATCCAGGGGTGGGCGAAGCTTGACAAGGTTTTTCGAGTACAGGCGGCTTGGTTGCATTTCGTGGGGCTGAACAAGCTCGACGCAAGTTGTGAATCGGCATACAGGCACTAAGAGATATGGTCTGGGAGCGACGTACTTTCTGAACCACATCATCTTCCGGAGTGACAGTATTTTCGGCGGACGAAGACATACCTCAGCTATCGCAATCGGTGAAAACAAAACTCCTGGGTTAGCATAGCTAGAAAGGACAAGCTTTGCATCCGCCAGTTCCACATGTATTGTTCTTCAGAGGGAATTCCATGTTTGACACAATTTAGGCTATGTTCTTGTGCAATCAGCATTGAATGTTTAGGTCAACTCATTGTTCTGCCTGCACAACAATCGTGCCACAGTCGATTGGCTCTCAAAATCACAAGCTGGTTAAAATATCGCCATGAGATTCACGCTGTTGAATATTTCACAAGATTTGGTTGGCCTGAAGCCGATGGCGTTTTTCTATTGGTCGATGGTCACAACCATCGATCGTTGTGAAGCTAGACGCACGAACAGCCGACACGCGCCAATCCGCTCATGTGCGAACACGCCATCCATGTTAGTTATCTTCCATAGACTGCATCTCAGATTCTCTGGAAACCATGGTTACGATGATCAATTTATCCCAGTGTACAAGGAAAGCTGTTTTTATGGGCTGGACGAATGTAAATGCAAATCTTCACATACCCTGGAAACTTTTTAATGTGGGAAGTGAAAAAATGTAGGACATTCAGTCTCTAATCCTCGAAAATTCTCAGAGTAAGGAGCGGAATTTTTTAGTCCAATTGTCACAGACAATCGGGGAGTTTAGTGCCGGGTCATGTTACACTATTGACAGAAAAGCTTCATCGCACTAGACGAGTGGATTACCAGGTTGGCGAAGCTGTAGGCCAGGGGAGAGAGTTACTCAGAAAGGTCATCCTCGAATAGGACCCAAAACCTGGAAGTTAAAAGTTCTTGTTGTTGGGTACAGTGGGTCACTAGACCGGCGTGTCTGAAGTTCATCTCCATCGGCTTAATACAGATGATCTTCCGATATATCCTCAGCCTCGGTCAAAACGCAATCGAAACACCTGCCCCCGTTTATCCATCGTACCAGCAGGGGAGGGCATTTGTCGCGAGATGTTAAAATTTACCTCGCTCCTCTCATTGTCATCATCGACAGCATAACGTCAGTGTTCAACCCTGATGCTTTGCTGCCGGCTCAACCGAAGATATTGCGTCAACGAAGCCAAAACACCGAAAATGCACATGGGAAACATGGTGCGACATGGTCGGATTGCATAATAATCTACCGGACAGACGAAATTCCAGTAGCGGATATCCGCGTCTGCTAAAGATGCTTCCCAACCTAGAACTACGATTAATACTTCTGCTAAACAGTTCATTTTCGGAGATCAAACACAAGCAAACTTAGAAAGAGCGACTCCGGCATCCAGAAACCCTTTTACAAGAGACTCTTCATAGGGGGAGGAGCATTAACAGCCATCAAATTCACTTACATAACACACCCTTTCTTACCAAAAAAATAATTTTTAAAAAGTAGTCACCTTTCATTTTGAGTACGAGAACAGAGGGTGATTGAACGCTATCCACAAGTAGGCCCAACCGTATGATTGGAATAATATGGGCTAATTTCACCCTACATAATCAGCCCGCAGTCTTGGTCCCAGCAGCTGTAGAAAAGTCCCCAATGAGCGTCCGGGTGACCTCAAGTGCTACAGTGGTCGCAAATAAGTAAATGGAGTCATCTCCTAGCACAGTGGACCCTGCCTCTTAGGGAGTTTGACGCCATCTACTTAGAAAATGACCTAAAAGTCTAGGGAGCCACTGGTATTGATAATCAACTGGAAGGCCCTGGCGTCAGAATTGTTCGTCAGCTATCACTGTCAGTATTGTGGAATATAAGGTTACGTATAATAGGGATCGAAATGAGTCAACAGAAAGGTGGCACACCTGATAGCTGGCGGCAAAATGGCAACAAAGTTCCTGCGGGACAAATTATATGGAAGGTAGGAAGCAGGCCGTCCTGACAAATGCGGGCTACTGAAAACTAAAAACCAATACAAATACGCTTCAGGTCAGCGATATCTTGCATCTAGCGAAAAAATTACGGGGAAAAACGGCGTGAGATTAACTCACTTTTGCCAACGTCTACGTTGTATATCACTGGATTTGGAATCAATTAATTGACATGAATGACCAATCAGGATCGGAATTACTGGTTTTGATGCAACTATGTTTATGCATGTGATGGTTTTTTGCGGGAGCTGTATTGTTCAGTCTCACATCACTCTCGTTTTGAACAGTCGTCCTCCTGTGCTGGCGCAATTATTCATGTGAATCCACACCAAAGGGGGGGAAGCACTGGACTCGAGTTTCGCTCTTGTGTGGATTCACATGAATAATTGCGCCAGGACAGGAGGACGACTGTTCAAAACGAGTGATGTGAGACTGAGCAACTATGTTTCTCAAAGTATCCTGTCCCAATAAAGCGAACACCCGTTGAGAAGTTTTCCGGCTGGAGTGTTACTTACTGAAATCCTATCACTTTTTAGCCTCTGAATAAGACTTTCAAAACACATCGTGAGCCGGGAAGCACGCTTTTCTACACTGGTATTAACCCCAGCTTCAGTGAAACGGAAGTAATTCTGCGTCTAAAACAGTTGGGCAGCTAGACGTTTTCTCTTAAGATTCGTTGCATACCGGAACTCAGACTCGAATAACCATGAGGGTAAGCTTTGGCTTACATTACATTCCCGCAAACGATATGGCAGTCGATGCCAAATGCAAGTAAACAAAAATAGGTACTTTTTGGAGGCGACTCACACGATTGGTGAAAACCTTTCAACAAGAAAATATTTTGTGATATCTCGAATATCTCATCAACAGAAACAAAAAGTGGCTTTTGGGTAGCACATCCAGTTGAAGAATATCATAGACGAGAGACTCAGTTGAGTACCAAGACCAGCTTGGTGTGCAATGAGTGCCTTTCACAAATAAACAGTATTCTAAATTTTTACACTTTGTTCAAAGCTATTCCTGCCTCGAAAATGCCCAAAATCCTGGTAGTGGCTCACATACTGACGAAATAACATTCGAATATGGGATGGGACAAACTACACCTAACTCTACGGCACAATTCCATTCCTTGGACAGGGGTGAAACCTGTAATGTTTTGTTAATCATGATTCCAAGTAATTTAAGTTGTAGGTTTGTGTAATACATCTGGACAACTCAGTACCCTATAAAGTGAGTAACTTTCGAAGCCACCGGAGCGAATATTGTGCCCGGGTGTGAACGCCATTCGAAGACTAGGCCCTTCATTGAGAGAGTTCGGCAGAGGTTCCAGATAGCGATTCACTGGAAGAATGTGGTGTTCATCAACAAAATTCTGGATTGGAATCTTGCGAAGGAATGAACCCGTGCCTAGCCTTATTGGCAAAAATACTACTCCATTCAAGTGACAAGCACAGTGAAACAACTTTGGATCATCAAACCAATAAATACGGTCCAACACGCTGCGATATTAGAGACAACAGTATTGAGCAACTCAAAATGTAATTACACTAATGTGAGTGCATTTGACCTCAAATACACGATCCAAGCAGAATTTTGTTTGCAGAATTCGTATGCATATCGCCTTCATTAGCACCTACATGATAAAGTTATCGACCATTGTAAAATTACTGACAAGTGCCAAGCAGACTCAGTTTTTCAGCAAATGTCAGCGGGAACATGTGGTTGGATTCATCCAAACGAGGTCTGACGGGATGTATCAGTCTGGAAACTTCCGTTTGTCGATCTCCGTACTACGCGCTCATCGACCGGTTTGTACTACCGGCGAATTTAAACGCGGTCTGAACTTTGGTTGTGCGGGACTTTGAGTTGTCCATACAGTCTGATTGCTGGTTTTGTGCAGGGGCTTACAGTACGGTGCATTGGGGCTGAAATTCCATCGCACATTGGTTGGAACTGAAATGAAGATTAAATATTTAATTCTACGTAAGTCGTGTGACAAAATGGAGCTCTGGTAGTAGTCCACTCGAAGCAGTGTCTAACCCAATTCACATTCTATTGAGTGTGATTTTCAAAATCATTTTCGAAGGGAAATCGTTGGTCCCGACGGTGTCCCACGGAATGAAAAGCATGTCCAGCTAGCCAATTGTTTTTTCAGTCACAAGCGTGCTTGTACATCTGCAGCTTTCCCAAACTTTCGCCAGAGGAGACGAGTAAACAACCCACCTCATGCATATGGAATTATGCATGTTATTGATCCAATCCTGATTTGCATAACACTACATTCTTCGATAAGGAACACTGCTCGAAACTGCGACGCAGATGTAACTCTGCGTGAGTTTGTCGATTCAAGGGCCCATTTACAAGATGAAATACACACATCGACAGTTAAATAGCGGAAGAAAACCTAACAAAATGAGAGTTTTATGTGGAAAAAGCAAATGCCGTTAACTCTGCGTTGTCGATTCCAGGGCCCATTTACAAGATGAAATACACACATCGACAGTTAAATAGCGGAAGAAAACCTAACAAAATGAGATGAGAATGTGGAAAAAGCAAATGCCGGTGTTCTAAAAGTAGTATATATATATATATATATATATATATATATATATATATATCAATGATTCAGCAATGAGATCAATTCAGTGTCCAAACTGTACAGCTCTGAACGGACCAAGACACTCACATACGCCTCGTGAAGAACTGCGAGATAATGTGAACGAAGTCTGCGTACAAAGTCACAGAGCGATTGTTCCTAGGGTGATTCGATGAATTATCCTACCTACTGTTATTTTTACAAAAGTATTCGAGTGATAAAAAAAACATGATTTCACAGATTCAGGAGCAAACCATGTGATCGAAATCTGAAGAAGCCCCAAATTAGAAGTAGTTTCAATCAGCATAGAAGTATGCTTTCCCGGGTCCGCGTGTGACAACAGCAGACGGCCACATGCCTAATGTTTTGTGTCCTACATTTTGTGAGTTTGTACGGATCGTGTATGACTTCATGTACCGAAGAATTTCACTACAATGAACGTGCGTCATAACGCACCACTTCAAGATGGCATTGCAAATTATTCCCGAAATCTGGTAGGCTATAAGCATGAGTTAGCTGTAGCGTATTTTAACGCAGGT